AGAATGGGAGGCAGAGCCTTTAGCTATCAAGCTCCTCTCCTATGGAACCAACTCCCAGTCTCGGTTCGGGAGGCGGACAACTTCTCTACCTTTAAGATTAGACTTAAGACGTTCCTTTTTGACACAGCTTATAGTTAGGGCTGGATCAGGTGACCCTGAGCCTTCCCTTAGTTATGCTGCTATAGGCCTAGGCTGCTGGGGGGCCCCATGATGCTCTGAGTTTCTTTCCTCTCCTCTCCTGCTCTGCTCTGCTCTCCTCTGTCTCCCTATGCTTCTATATGCCACCATTACACATTACTAACTTTGTCTCCTCTCTCCCGTAGTGTGTCCTCTCTCTCTCTCCCTGTAACTTTCTGCAGGTTGCCCTGGAGCTCTATATCTCTGACGAGCAGTCACCGGCCACATCGACCTGATCAGTGTTTGATTGTTGTGTCTTGTTGCTTTTCTTCTTTTGTCTCTCCTCTATCCACTCACCCCAACCGGTCGAGGCAGAAGGCTGCCCACCAAGAGCCGGGGTCTGTCGGAGGTTTCTTCCGTTAAAGGGAGTTTTTCCTCCCCACTGTCGCCAAGTGCTTGCTCATGGGGGATTTGTTGGGTTTTCCCTATGTAATAATATTGATAACAGTAAGGTCTAGACCTTACTTTGTAAAGTGTCCTGAGATGACTTTTGTTGTGATTTGGTGCTATACAAATAAAATTTGATTTTGATTTGATTTGATTTAAAACACAGATTGCCCACCACTAAGAAGTGAGTGCACAATGTGTGTAATTTTGTGTGAGTGTGCATGCGATCACACAAATGCACTCCCTCTGCCTCTGTTTACACTCTTTTAGCCACATTTTTCACCATATGAACAGTGACAAACTGAGAAGTAAATTCATCTTTAAATCATTTACAATATTTTTTTCTTGGTTCCATATTTGCCTGTGTAAAATATAAACTCAGATGTCATATGGGCTCGAAAAAGTTATGATAACCATTTGTCTATAAGATATATTGTGCCTATTGTGTTTTGGGGGGTTTTCTGTATGTGCCACACATTAAACTGCCCTGCAAGGACCTGTGACATTTAAAGAGAGAACCGAAATGGAGTGTTAGGTGTTATTTGAAATGTCACTAAGGGCTTGAGATCCTGATCATCGCCATGAACAAGAGACTGCTCCTTAGACTGATCATCCATTGCAGCTCTCTCACTGGGACCGCCAGTAAACTCAGAGGAAAAAAATCTGCTGGGGGCAAAACGTGAACAAACCTGCCCACGACCCCGCTCATGTGCTCCAACACTGGGAAAACCCATTGCACTAATTAGAAAGCACACAACGGAAGCTCAACCTAGACAAACACAGTGAACACAGCTTAACAAATTACAGTACATCATGAAGTACTGAGTCTGGAAATCTTGTCATTCTTCAAAGAAAACAAATCTGAAAAACTGTCAGTGAGGTGACGTCGTGAATCTTGTTTGTTCTCCAAAGATTTACACCAGCACCTCCTTAAATGTGGAGAACTACTTGCAGTTTTAATTTGCTTCATATAATTGTGTTTTAAATATTTTTGGACTTCTGCTGGTCAGACAAAATTTACATTTTTGATATTCCATAAACTACACTTATGTTCATTTCACAAGCAGAATTTCTAAGAACTTTAGTTCGGACTGTTCAGGAACTGAGCACTTCCCTTGCATGATTTTCCAGAGAACCTGCCTGTCAACTCACATTAGGCTGTACTTTGCTTGACATTACATGGATTAAAAAATGAACTCATTCTCTGATAAAACATTTGATATGTATCTGTCTGGTAATTTAAAATGACCGTTGTTCACTGCAGCCTCATACCTTGGATCTCCTGATACAAAAAGACTGTCTAAAATCAGTGGCACTGCAAAGAGAACTAGGCAACCCTGCTGGAAAAAACCAGCATAGACCTGCACAGACATCATGCTGTGGTCTATGCTGGTTAGTGGTGCTGGTTTAGCTGGTAGATAGCTAACGGATATGCCAGCACCAGACCACCACTATCTCTCCACAACTGCCAGAAGTTTGCAAAGACTTTTTGGTAAGATTCTACATCCCAACTAGAGAACGGTGTTGATAACATGACATTATCTGTCCCCTTCCCATGTTACAGCCACAATCCTCAACACCTCTCAGCCATGAGACAATGCATTGGCCACACTGCATTGCAAGTAAACAAGGCTCTCCATTCCTCTCTCATTGAGATTGGGTTATGAAGTCTACACTGCTGCAGCCTGTGGGCAACTGGGCTTCATCAGGACCATGGTAACAACAGTAACAGACAGATGACCCTCTAATTCTGTCTTTAAGTGTATCTCTAATCCTCTTTCTCTCTTTCTACAAGTCCGGTGCAACAATTCATCAGTGGCATTACAGGAAATGCAACCTCATTAGGATGTCAAAGTAGTATCACATCAGGGGATATCAGGCACAACAGCGATAATTTAGCAAAACCAATCAATACTAAACAATATGCATCAGTCAATAGATGGCCTGTGTGTCATCAACAACAATATGACAAGCAGAGCAATGCACTTCTGTTGTTCCATTCGATTAAAGATTATAGACATGGGGAAGCAAAGCTTCCCTGTTCTCACTTTCTCAGTCACCCTGTTTCAACACTTGGCTTCAGCTGCCAAGTTGTTGCCTCGCCTTATCAAACAATCTATGCAGCAATCAGTCTCGCGGTGTAAAAATTCAGAGCACAGTCTATGTGCCTTTAGATATAACCATACAAGTGCATGTTATCTGTGCAGGCGCCGCGCTGAACACTCTGTGCCCAATTTACAACAAGCGTAAAAGGTAAGAAGTATGAAATTTATCATTGTCCCCAAAATCTTCTTCCACCAGAATCTACAATGGGAGCCAATCCTGAAGTTGGCATTGTTGTTTTATGCCGAAAACGGACAGATGACATTTTAGGCAGTGGTGTTTTGTGAATAAACAAGAATTTGTAAAATGTAGTCTACTCTGCAATGAGAGATACCGCCACATATTGTGGATGTTGTGAAAGTAACCAACCTTAACAGGGGCGCTCCTGGTGGCTACGGGCAGCTCTCTGACTGCGCTGCCCGGGGAAGAAGCGGATATCCCGGCTGCGTAACCCTGCAGCGAGCCCCCAGCCAGCGACTGCTTGCCGCCAGCTCCTACGCCTCCTCCGCTCCCTCGCTGGGGCCGCTGCTTGATACCATCCAGGAGGCGAACCAGGAGGATATTAGCCGGCAGATCATCCACACCGCAGTCCACCAGGATGCGGCACTCCGGGCAGCGGAGCTCGTTCCGGGAGCTGACAATGTTCTCCAGACAGCGGCGGCAGAAGGTGTGCTGGCACGGCAGTACTTTGGCCGTGGTGTCCAGGCGCTCCAGGCACACCGAGCACTCCAGCAAATCCAGCAGCGACGAAGACTCGTCCATGTCAGCGGAGAGGGTGAGCATCTGGGCTTCAGTGTCCGTGGGGACGCCGCGGCGACTGGTTCGTGTACCGTAGAAATGAACCGGGGGCACAGAACATTCTGGGAGGCGGACCCGGGGGGAGAAGCCAACGGACGCCCCGCAACGGAGACCCGCACACCGAGCAGTTGTGTTCTGAATGTTCTCCGCTGTTGTGTACTTCTCTGCGTTTCCCTCAACGCGTGTCCGTGTTGCGCTTTCTCTTTGCGTGTCTCCCTCTCCTCTCCAGCAGCTGTGCAGAAAGCGGTGAGGTCACGCTCTCATCATCACCGTCCACGCGCCGATCAGAAATGCGCGTGCGCTCATGCACCACAGACTTGAGAGAGAGAGAGAGAGAGAGAGAGAGAGAGAGAGAGAGAGAGAGCTGACAAGCACCAGCGGCATCTCCAGCCGCTCAGTTCTCTCCTCACACCTTCTCACAGATTGGTTCAAAAAGAACCACGGGCTGGTGTCACACCTTTCTAACAAACCTGTGAGACTGTTGAAAGGTTTTCTCTCATCTCACCTGCTCACTAAGACAGGCTGCAAGTAGCCTTCAGAAACAATCATTTCTCAGGGCGTCAGTGCACAAGATCCTCAGTTATGGCGCACAGTGGTAATGTGAGGACGCTGTTTCAGAGAGACGTCCCCCAAGTTTGAGCCAAGACGGAACAGAAATGTTTGTTTCCATGTGTTTTAGAGAAAACTTCCAAACATGTCTTAGATTGTTTTATCTAGTTGGTTTTGTATTAAATGTAGTCTAGTTACGTGTCCAGAAAGCACCGAGTCAAATACAAGAGTTAAAAATTCATGCGGTGCCTCACCTGACAGGAGCACACATCCTTTGTATTACCCCAGGAACTAAAGCCACCTGGAAAACGGGGATTGAAACAGTGGCTCTTGACGACGCCTGGTGGCCACCTGATCTTTCTTGTTTGTTTTTGTTTCACTTTGAACAACAGGACCTCCCTAGGATTACACAGTTTACAGTAACCCTGTGGGTTATAAATAGGTAAACCAAAATAAAATGAACCAAAAACATTGTACAAAAATGTTTAGACCCTTAAGGGATTATCTACAAGGAACTATTATTATAAGTCTCATATTTACAGCCAAATGTGAATATTATCAGGCACAATGTAATATGTGATACACACATACACACACACTCATACATACATACATATATATAATTGTAACAGTAAATAATAGCATAAAGGTAAAAACCACAGATGAACTACTCCCTGACAATGTAATGGACACAGTGAGTGCGTGGTTGTGTGTTGTTCCTCAGCCGTGACGCCAGGCTTGCTTTGCCCACCTGTTCAGGCCTGCTCTATTCGCACACTCAGCCCCAGAGGGATATGTACTGATTAAGGCAAAGGTGTGCGAGTGTGTATGTGTGATACGCTGACGCCTTCCTGGGTGAGGGTTGGGCCCATTGTCGACCACCCACGATGAAAAGCAGAGGGTGAACTGCTTAAGCATGAGACACAGAGGGTGAGAGTGTGCTGTGCAACCACTGATTATTCAGATACTGAAACAGGTGTAGATTGTAACTCATTTCATGGCAAAGTAGTCACAATACTGCAGTAGCTTATTTTATTTTATATTGTAGTGACAATAGTGTGATATTAATGCACACAGACACACACACGTACATAAAATAACACTTCAGTTGAGACTAACACAAGGCATAGCTAACTCTTGTAGTATCTGTTTGTGGTCTACAGATACATAAAGCAGCTAAAACTGAGTCTGAGGTCATATAGTAAGATGCTAAACGGTCTCTGACTCACAACTGGAAAAAACCTTATAAAAACAAGTGAAGGTCAAGTCTTTTGCACCAGCAATGTTGTAACTTGAAGAGTTTTTGCATTGTCTGGGCTATCAGAGGAAGCTCCCCTCACATTTCATCTGCAGAGACCCGTCATTTCTTACTGGTCTATTTGAATCCCCCTGGCTGCATAACATTGCAATGCTACAGTATGTCAGACACTAAAATGGCTTGTGTGTTCTTGTTGTTGTTATCAAACTCTAATTTTTAATGCCTCACTAGAGCAGTGGCCTACAACTGCTGGCAACAAGCCCAAAACCTTGGTCCCTCTCTTTATCATACCCACTCATGTCCCATTCCCAGTGTGTTTCGTCTGCTTAATACAATTCTCCACAGCCTCTGACTCAGAATTAGAAGAGAACTACAGGGAGAAGCGAACAAAAATGATTACTGGATGAAAAGCTCCTCATTCCATTTAAGCAGCACAGTCCATAGGGCCCAGTGCTGCTGTCAATAGAAGACAAAGGGTGGATGCTTAAATAGCAGACATGTCAATTAGGGATGGAAACTAGCTTTTTACATACACGGTCAACCGGGTGTGATCAGAGTTGTAATTTTGGATGTGTAGATTAGTACACAGGTGTATGCCTTATTTAATTTATATAATAAAGCCCCAAAGTGTTGGGAATCTCTTGTATTTTAAATAAAGTATGTGCACCCACAGTGGGTTGTATGGATGAGCACTGACCTCACTGGCTTATGTCCCAAATGTTTGCCCCACTTAGTTTATCTTGTGTTATTTGCTTTCTCATCTAATTTTCATTAACTTGTTTAGTTGTGGCACAGCTGAGCAGTTCCAGTGAAGGCAATATTTACTGTTTTATATGCTTGTAGTGTTTATACTCTATGTTACATGTTGCCGCATACTTGCAGAAATATTGGATTTTATTGTTGCTGTAAACAAATGAAAACTTAATTGTTTTTATGACTGCAATATAATTATTTTGCAATTAAATATTGTCCTTTGGGAAATCCTTATGATGAGCTATGAAAATAAACTGCAGTTGTGTTGACCTGACTTCAGCTTCATCTGGAAAAAAAAAACTTTCTCTTCTTGTACATAAATGCAGTTTACTGTACCCAAAGGTTCACTAAAGGTTCATATATGTCCATGATATCCTTGTCTTTATCAATAATGTTGTTCCATTGTTTCTCAGCAAACACAAGAGTTCTCCCATCGGCTGCTCTGAAAAATCTTGTTTGTTCAACTATAATAAATATAGCATGTGTGTGTGTGTGTGTGTGTGTTGATCCACTCTGTGCACCTATACTATACACCTCATGTTCATCGGCCAGCGTCTTTCGTTCATTTAAAAGTAGGTTAGCTGACATGGCAGTTACCATGGCAACCGGTTCTTTGCTTCCTTGCTGAACAGTGAGTGTATGTTCTCATAGACAATGCATATGAGGAGATATTAAAATGGGTACTGATGAGGTCATAGTGCATGTCACAGGATGCATGTATGTATTTTTATTTAACACTGAATCAGTCAAAAGTAGTTATCATCAGAATCCTGGGACTCAGCAAAAAGTGTGTCAGGATCTGTTCGTGCTTTGAACTGACACTTTTCTGTCGAAGATGATTTAGTAAATATTATATATCAGGAGAAAAATACCAGCTATAGTATTTGTTTTAGTTCTTTTCTTTTAATGTCACCCTTGAAAAGTGGATAACTATTAGACCATATTTCCAGCTTCTCCTTCAAGTCTCCTTGAGGCACATAAAACACACAGGCAAGTTAGTTTTTAATGATTTTGCTGCAAATTGAAGTTACCTTTACTTCATTAGGCCTCCACTGACTGCTGCTGTCTCTGAGCTACAGTCGGATGATAACTAGCCAGGCTGTGACAGCTGCTGCGCTGCACCGAATCCTTAAAACGTTGAGTGCCTGCATTAATGCTTGTTGATTTTAAGACTTCACACCATCATAACTCAACAACATATTCATTAGCACAATCTGATAAAAGCAGAGGCATAAAAAAGTGTAAACAACGCAGGAAGGCACAACAAGAAGACACTATAGTGGGTAAGCTGGAGATATTCGTGACTAAATTTATGTCAATACCTCCCACATTATGCTACTTTTAGCAGTGAAGGAAAAACAAATAGGTAAGTAAGCGAGTGACCACATATGTTGATATGTTTCAATACATCCCACAGACTTCAAAGCAACACTTTAGGGATGATTAATGAAATGAAATGAAATTAAACTACAGCAGCTTTTACTTAGCTCATAGGATTTGTTTTCATTAGGTGCTATGACATTCTACACAAGACACCCATTTTCCCACAGGGACCATCTTATATGTCAACAGTATGTAATCCTGTACCATTTTATATGCTGCTGCCATATCAGATAATCCCACATCATATCATTTTTGATCATATTTAATCTCAGTTGTCACATTATGCCATATTATATCAACATTTCCTCTTACAGAGAGACAGTTGCATGTGTTTTTATGTTACTGCATCCATCATAGTAAATACAGGTTCTGCTTAATATGTGTTTTGTCCGGTCTGTGACAGATCAGCCATTGTTCTCTCAGCAGAATTCATCACTCTTCTTGTTATCCTCTCCTCATCCTCCCTATATCCTCTTATCTGATCTAATCTCGTGTCCCCTCATCCTCCTTTTCAGACAGGAAGCCCCCTGGACTGGCATCAATTGGTCTCTGAGCGAGGGAGGCAGACTGAGAGAGAGTAGAAAGAAAGAAGAAGAGGATGTAGAAATAAAATTAAACAGACTGAGAGAGGGTGTGTGAAAGTGAAAGAAAAAAGGGAATGTGACTAAGAAGGACAGAGACACAGGGGAAAAGAGAACGAGAAAAAGAGGGACAGAGGGGAAGACGGCGATGGAGACAAAGAAGGAGAGTAAGTAATTACAGGACTCCCAGTGTTTTTAAAGCTCCTCTTTTATCTCACTCTTCCTGTGGCTGAGAATAGGAGAGAGCGGAAGGAGAGAGGAGGAGGAGGAGGAGGAGGAAGACTAAAGTCCAGCTTTAGTTGCACTCAGACAACAGGCACACACATGACACCAGACACACTCATCTCCTTCAAAAGAAAGGTGTTTGTTTGTGTCTGTGTGGGATGAATAATAGTACTAGTACAGAAGTAGACTATTATTAACAGAAGTCAGTTGTAGTGAGTGGATAGAGATAGTACTTAAGGATTGGCATTAGAAATGGTATTACACTGTAGTACATTTACTCAAGTAGCTGAACTTCATCATAACTTTGATACACGTGTATTTTAGTTTGTTCCTCTACTTTTACTCCACTACATTTATAGTTACTGTACGTTTCAGATTGCAGTTCTACATTAACACCTTATAAAATATGATTTGTACAGGCTAAACCGCCCAACAGTTCAAATTCCTCTTACAGATTCATGCATCAGTAATAATACAAACTGTAACATTATGTCTGACACTGACTATTCAGCTGCACAACAGATTTTTGATACTTTAAGTACATTTAGCTGACAATACTTGTACTTTGACTTAAGTTTTACTTGCAACATTACCTTTAGATATGTGGCATAAGCAGGAAGCAGCATATCAGTGAGCAGTGATGGGATCTTTAGGAGAATAATTAGCCTATATGGTACCTCATTATGTGTTTGTGTGTTAACAAAAAGTACTGGCTTTTGTGCCTTCTTTATGTTTAATAACACTTGATTTAGCATGTTTAGTGTGAGGTTATACAACTTGCACAACTATAGTAATTTGTATGAATCACCGTATAGATGTTTATGACAGAAGGTCAAACTTGACAGACGTTTCGTGCTTTGCCACCACCTCCTCGCGACACTAGATGGCGGAGTTGAGTTGCATCCTGCAGCATGTTAATTGTCTGCTCAGAGTCAGTTTACCTGGGACACGTTAATCTCTTTCTCATACAGGGCGGAGATAACTTCACCGTTTTTTCTCATCAAGGAGGAGCCTGCAGACACGCCAGCATGCAGCAAAGTGGAGACTGAAGCACAGCTTGGGCTTTGTGGAGTAAAAACTCTTGGACAGCCATTCCCTCGGCGATGCATATCAGTCAGCAGACTAGAGATTGATCACAAATCACGCAGGACTGATCGCCCGCCAGGTGATCCCGCAGTGCAGCGGAGAAACCCCACCAGTGTGCCCCCTTCTCTGAGCTCCAGGTAAGACGTGTACAGCTCCGTTCTCAGGAATGCAAGGCCGGATTGCTGCAAGACGTCGGGGAAATTCCTGAGCAGCACTTATTATGCCAAGCAAACATGTGCTTTCTGTAATTTTACTGCTAAAAAATAAGTATGAATTGTTATACTTTTTGCTCTGGGACGTTTTAGGAGAGAATCGCTGGTGGTGCAAATAATGCAGTGTATCTACCATATAACTACTGTTTTTTGCCAAAATATGGCAAAGTACCCCAAACACAGCTTTTCCACCTTCACCTTTATCTGACAGGCTGATTCTGACTGTTGAAGCATTTATCTGAGACCATATATGCAGATAACAGTATGTTCATTGTCAAGTGCACATGAGATTGGATTTTATGATTGGCATGGATGTCATCTGCAAAATGCATCAGCAAAACATATTGAACACAGTTTTGTGTAACAACAGGTGACAGATTAAAGGGAAAACCTGAATAAATGCATGGACTCCTCCAGAATGCCCCCATCCGTAGCACATGAGGTGTCACTGAGTGGTTTGATGAATCTGAAAATGATGTGACTCATATGCTGTGGCCTTCACAGCCACCAGTTGGAGTGACGCGTTAGACAGCATCTTCACCACCATCATCAAAACACCACATGAGGGAATATCTTTTGGAAGAATGGTGTTCATCCCTCCAGTAGAGTTCAGAGACTTGGAGAGTCAATGCCAAGGTGCACTGAAGCTGTTCTGGTGGCACGTGGTGGCCCAGTATCTTACTGGGGTTTGACCTTATGTTGGTTTGACCTTTCAGTTGTATCCATAAATACATTTTGAAGTATGTGACTGGTGCTACAGTATACGTGTTGGCCCAAAGCTTTTCGTCCAAGGTGGTAGACAAATTAGATACTTTCTCATTTCTCACATCACTACCTTTGTAGTTTAGGCCTCAGACTCTTTGTGATAAGGCTCTGATTGTGAATGCAGACCATATTTAAGCCACTGTGAGATGTATTAAAAATTTAGGCAGATGAGAGGGAATCTAGGTTGTTAATTCCTTAAGAGTGAATTTTTTTCACATCAGCCTCATCATGTGTTAGGGATTTCACCCATGACACCTTTTTTTTTGGCTGTGTGTGTGTGTTTAGGCAAGTGACCTTGCACACCTTTCTCCTTGGCTTTGCGTAATTGTTTTCTTGGTGCCGCCTAACTGTCCCAGGCTCCCGGGCCCCTGGGCCCCCCAGGGGAAGTCCTGCCCGCAGACAGGCAGCTTGGCCCGGCTGGGGACATGCCGGGTCCTGCCGGGCCTCTGAAGTCTGCTGGCTTTGAACTATAGCTGCTGGAGGTGGAAATCAATCCATCTCTATCCCTCCTTGCTCTTTCTCTCTCTCCCTCTTCTATCTCTCTATCTGTGACTCTCTCTCTCCTCCTGCAGTCCCCAGCACAGCCCGCCTCCACTGCCATTGAATCTTTCATGTTCACAGGTAGAAAGGCAAAGGAGACAGAGGAGAGACAGGGGAAGGAGTGTAAGTCATCTTCAAAAGAAGCCAATATGGTTCTTGAGGATTAAAGGGATGAAGGCAGAAAAACTAACAAAGCTAGCGCCTGTAGTTATGATCATCCTTTACTAGACTGAAGTGAATAGATTGTTTACATACTCGTCGCTCTGTTGCTTTTTGGTGCTTCGTGTTGGAATCCACACAGTAACCCTATTCATTCTGGAGTGATATCATAGAAAGGGGAATGGATTCTTGTGTTTTCTTGTGAATGTAAGTGTTGAGGTTTATGTTGGATGTCACAGCTGATTTCAGTCCACACAGCATTCAGTGTCATTTTCCCCAGTGGAGAAATTTATAGAGGCCTGTTAGGATCCAATGTATTATACTGCTTCACAAAAGGAGAAGAAATCCTACTGATTACATCATTCAGAGTTTACTTATGGAAGTGAAGTTGTTTCAGCTCCTTTATGGCCTAAGCCTTTGACGGAAGCTTTTATCTAAACTGCCTTACCCGAACCAGGATCATGAGCGAGTGCTACAGTAACCCTGTACATTTAGTATAATAGGGTTGTAATAGGGATGGTAAGCATTTGTTTTAATGTGTGTGTGTGTGTGTGTTTAAAATGTAGTGTTATTAGACTTTTTAATATGTTGGGAAACTAGTACAAAAAGACCACTGGAATACTTCTACTGTACATTTTAATTACTTAATAGGAAAATATAAATGTTCTCACATCACAAGTAACTTCAGGTTTTACAAAACAAAAGACTTATGGCAGGTATAAAATAGATATGACATACCTATTAACTGAGAGACATGAAGTATTAATACTGGGGTTGCTGTTTTGTTTTATTCTGCCGAGGATCTGTGTATAGCTAAAACCAATGAACATACTGTAGTTTGCAAGGAACAAAAGGATTTCCATTCAATAGAAGCCCAGCTTTCTTAATCAGTTACCCTTAGGGCTGTGTCCCTGGGCTCTGTTGCTAATTAATGCTGTGTTACTCACAGCCCTCTGGAGTTATCAGCTTAAGAAAGACCAGTGGACCTTTAGCGATCCCATAGGGGCTTCTAGGAGGCCCCCGACAAAATGAGAGGTCAGGGCATTTTATTATATTTTAATTTAGATGGTATAATGTATTAAAAACAGGATTAAAGGAATATGCTTTTTTAATCACAGCTTACTACCAACCACTGTTTCCCTGTGCACAGTGCAGACAGTTCAACAAACCAATACTAAATCAACATTTCAGATTGCTCAGTGTATACACTTGTTCCCTGGGGCCAACATGGAGCAGGGGTTTGTGGTCCAATCCGTGTGTGTCTACTTCAGAGCCCTGCATATGGGGAGACTACTTCAGAGGGTCATCAATTTCTTCTACAGAGACTTTAATCTAATTGTGGGAAACAGAAATACTGAGTGAGGTCTTGAAAATTATATCATACGCACAAACACAGGAGAGTTTGTACCTTAAAAAGAAGGTAAAACAGATTGTGCTGATTAAGGAATCCACACACATATTGTCAGGGTTGATCCAGAACTGTGGTATTTATTGTTTGGTCGGTGAGAACTCTAGTGAGAGATCATGTTGGCTGGGTTATCTGTGCAGATCTGTGCAGGGTCTGGAGGGATAGCACGACTTGTACTATGCTCTCCTCATGTTGCTCATGGTGTCAGTTGATAATGCACATCACCAGAAGCAGACATAAATGCTTCTGTTTTCAAATTTCGGCCCATATGTGCTTCAATTCTAAACTCTCTGCTTTTTCAGTGGGTTGACCAGGATTTCCCTCGACCTCACACCACATCTATCCATCATAACTAGTGGCTGGTAATTGCTGGCTTGTCTACTACTGATTTGGAGTATTTTGAATGTTTTTTAATTGTGTAGAATCTTATCATCCAATCATTAACATATTTATGCTGATATATAAACATTTTAGTTGGGAGAACTGTTCTGAAGTGCTTTTACTGTAGGTGTAAGGGACCTACAGATGAATTCCAGGTTGTAGATTAGGCTTCCTACCTACAGCTGCTGCAAAATAAACAGAGACAGAGACGGGGAGAGAGATGTTTTGCCCCAGCAAAGCCAAAAAGGGGAACAAGGGATCAGGAAGAGCAGACGATGAAAGACAGATCACCAGCAGGCAGTGAATCAAAGAGCCTACTGACTGACTGAGGTACAGATAAGTGTGTGTGTGTGTGTGTGTGTGTGTGCTGTGTGACTTTTTTCAAGTGCCCTAAGGGTTTGTTTTTCCTGTGCATCAAGTGGGAAGCTGACATTAAGTCTGTAATTAAAGCAATCAAAAGCTGGAGACGTCATACAAACAGAAACGTGCACGTGCACGCACACGCTCCTAATAACACATTTAATTTAATTACTCTGGCCATGAATGTAACTAAATAAAAGTTATAGGAGCTGTGTTTCTCTGCTGCTTAACAAAATCATCAAATGAAATCCCTCATGCAGTGTTAGAAGTTGTTTTTTCTATTAGTGGCGTAGATCTAAAGGAATCGTTCCGACTAGCCGAGTTTATGCTAAATCTTAGTTAATGCAGCTTTAAAGGAATCACAGTCTTCTTACTGCAGATGATATCTGAGGCATGAACTCTTTTACACTAGTATTCTAGCCTGATTTGTCAGTGGAAATTCAAGTTGCAGCAGAGCGTGTTTGGACACTCCTGTGAAAATACAGTTCACGCTGATAAACCACAATGTTGCACTTGGATGTGATTTTAGTAAATGGATATTTAGTTCAGAGACGAGGGCCAGCTGTGGTCTGAGGTTTGAGTCTGCTTCCAAAGTTGGAAGTCACTTTAATCATGGGTTTATTTTCACATCAAACTTGGATGGTAATCATGTTGTGAATTAGACTTAATTTCTGGCTCATTTAGTTCATGATAAGTGAGCCTTGATGGCTTGTTTGCTCAGGGAGCTTGACTTCCTTTAGCACTGATAAAGAATTGTAAATCTAGAAACACAAGGAGATTAGGAATGAATCGTCCCAGTAGCATGTAGCACATAGATTTTATGATTGAGACTGATGTGCCTTACGTTGAAATAGTCTGGTGTCTGTTTTTAACTCTTTTTCTAGTCAGTGAGCTCTGAGACAAAGATGCAAGTGGTTGGTCTAATTTGACTGACAGCCCTGCAGCTACCCCTCTATTTACTCTGCAGCTGCCTCCAAATTAGAAAAGAGACAAAACTGCCAGCACCACATTCCTTTGCTTAAAGCAAAACAAAACAAAAAACATTAGGGGGCCTTAACATTACTGACAATTAGATCGACAGTGGAATGGTTAAATTCTTTAATACACAGCTGGAACTGAAGTGTGTTTTGATGCTTGTTAAGCAAATAGAAGCACAAGTACATGATATTACACTGAAAGACTTTGGTTGATTTATAGACTATTTACAGATCATTTCTCTGTATATATTGTAATATTCTCATTCATAATTCACAGTTGCAGTGTCTGCATCCAGTGTATCCATGTGGCGGCTTTGTTTAAGGCCTCCAGCGTA